AATATTGACTCGATGTATCTTCGACAATCTTTGTAGAATCGCCACAAATCAAGAAGACGCTGCCTCAAAACATCTCAAAACCCTTTCCCTCGCCTGGTGAATTCAGAAGGATTGCCAGGTACAACTAGCTGCCAACGCACTTCGAAGTACTTGTAGGGATCAGGGTGCCGAAGTCCAACTCAGCGCAGTCATTGTCACGAAAGCTAGCTCCTTGGAGCTCGCGAGAGTTGTCGTTTGCAAGTCTTCTCTCTAGTGTTCAGCTGGGTCAAAAAGCGACCCCGACCCTTAAGCCCCCCTGCCCCCCCTTTATAGGATTGACAGAATCAATCGTAAGGTGTCCCTCCCCCCCCCATTCAGGGTGGCCTTACTTGATTTCTGGGGAGGGGGGGGGCCCCCCCCCCTCCTTTTGGCCCCCCCCCCTTTTCAGGCCCCAGCTTGCTTGTCAGCCGCGTTTCTAGCTTTCGTAGCCCAGATCTCAAGTTGTTCTTTCCAGCATTGCCTTTGTAATGTGTGCTTCTATGTGTGCTTTGTTTGGGCCATCTGCTTTCTTGCATACTTGTGTGATCAGGCTTCTAAGCATTGGAGCTGGAATTTCTGACAGGAATGCCTCTAAGGAGTCCTCTAGGCGTTTAGGAAATGATGTTTACCAGCCACGTCACCATGATGCAACGCAGGCTTCACGAGCAACCGAACATGCGGTGACTGTCGAAATGCCAGCACCATGAACTGAAAGCCCAGGCTGGTTTTTGTGGCGATCACCGGTCTCATCAAGAAGCAGGTCTTCGAAGCTGGGAACCAGGTCGTGTTGGGTGCAGACTCTGGGTGGCAAGGGTGGCAAGATGCAGCGGAAGTCACAGTGGTTTCCAGTCTGTGACACAAACTGTGAAGAAAAGAACTGGAGCTGAGATCTGCTTCTTCACTGGAGCCATCTGCTTGCTTGTGCACCCAGCTCCAGCTTGGCTGAACCCAACTTTGATCTTTGTGGGCGGCCTTACAACCATCATGCATCCTGTCTCTTGGTTGCACAGGGGCAAGTGCTACTTAGGCTGCAGCGTAGGGTTGCAAGCTTTGCATGAGCAGCGTGAGGGCAAGGCTTGTGTCACACATCGCAAGGCCTCGCCAGACTCTGAAGTGAAGCACGCCCAGGACACTGGAAAGTCAGGCCAAACCACCACCAAACGCACTGAGGACTGAGGATAGTAAAGGGTCGTTGCTCCGCCAGGCATGCCCGTAGCCCTGGCTGTGGGCATCTTCCTGCTGCCGCTGGGAGGAACTCACCGATGATTTTTTTACTTCACCTAGGGGTTGTTTCCTGTCATGTTTCTGCATTGTGTTCGCCCAGTCCCCCGATACCATCAAGGTATCTTGCTGTGGCTGCCTTTACTCTATGGAGAGACACCTTCGATCATGGATGGGTTATGCCGTTCTTGACCGCAGGCCCGGCAAGGCTGTTCTCTCCTTGGGCGATTTCCGTGCCGGTGCGTGAATCTCCAAGGCATGTTTGTATGGGGCGGAGGGCCCGTGGTTCTGCCCATGTTGATGACCTTCCTTACACCGAGCTGGATTTCGCCCACGATTTTCTTGGCCGGAATCTCCTTCGCCGAAATGATGCCTGGCCCTGTGTTCAACATCTCCTGTGCCCTGCCCTGCACGCAGATTGCAAGGGTCAACAAATCGATGCGTCTCATTGACGTTGCCAGAAGCTCCAGGTTTCCTCGGCATTCAACTGGCTCTGAACAGCGGAGTCTATTGGCTGTGGGGCATCCTCCTGTGCTGGGCAGGCATGACGGGGCGGCCGGTTCTCACGTCATCTCATTGGGTCTAGAAAGAGCTGGTGAAGACTTGAGATGCGGCTGCAGGCCTCATGGGACCAGGAGTTACCTTGATCTTTGGTGCTTACACACTCTGGGACGAGACTCGGCTCGGAAAATAGCTATGCCGAAAGATGCAGAAAGCATGCCCACCCCCCCAAAAATCGTTAACTTGTTTCGAGATCTACATGAGAGCCGAGGAACTCCGCAAGCAGCGCCTGTACCAGCACGCTCTGCCAGGCAAGCTCTTACGCGAAGGTTTCAGCATAGCATAGTTAATAAAACAAAAACAATACAATAATACTACTAGTTCATAGCAATAAATACGAATAATATTAAAATGAAGATTGTTTCAGCACGCTCCGAACTGCCATGGGGTCTTTCGAGGCCTCAATGCAGCGGCTGTTGGGCTGCTTTTGCCCACCATGTTTGTGGTCTACGATACCTTGCAGGACACCGGTAAAATAAGAAGTGCCCGATGTATCCTTTGAAGACCTTTCATCGGAGAGAGAGGGAGAGAGACCACAACTTGGGACAGTGCACATGAGCTGTACTGGACCGGTCTGGCCCCAACACATTGTTCATGAGTAAGTTAGGCGTGACATAGATGCACTTACAAAGGGCCACGAAAGGCGGGGCAGTCTCATATGACCACACACACTTGGCGGGGGGGACTAAGGACTGGGGTACTGACGACCTAGTGGCGGGGGAGATCGTCGCGCTCGGTAGTCCTGCACACGCTGCGTCTTTGGGGGCATACAGCAACACGGACCATTGGTTTGGGGGTATGTTTGTCGATGAATAGCACGGGATATCCAGCATGTCTTTCCCCAAACAGTGCCTGCACCGGGGGATGGCTTGTGCTGGATGCCCAAGGGCGTTTTTGTCCGAAATCGCGCTACTGTACACTTTTTGCGATTTCGAGCCTGCCGATGCTCCCGTCTGGAAGTTGCGACGTGGAAATGGGCTACGTTCTTGTGTGCAGGCTTCTACGATACTCTCCGAGCAGCACTGTTTGGGGTCTACCGTACGCCGGCATAAAGATGATTGGCGTTCGCTCGGCTGACCGTCGGCTGCGCTCCGTTGCGCCGTGCTTTGCTTTTTTGAGGAGCGGAGCCCGTGGCAGTCGGGAAGCCGGGCCCTGGTGGTCCTCGCCTACTACTTCATCGAGCTGGTGAAGGCCAGGCCCTGCTGGCCCATAGCCCATGCCGCCCTTATGATGTGTCTTAGGGTAGATATGTGGTCCCTGTCCTTTACCTTCTTTGCAGGGCTCTGCCTTTGGTTTTTATAGGGTATACAAGGGGTATATAAGGGGTCCCCATCTAATATTTAAGAGTGGCTACCCTAAAAATGTGGTCCCTCTCTGAAACTTTGAGGTGAATGTCCCTTTGGTGGTGGTCGCAAGTGGCCTCGTCGGACTGGCCTGGTCTCTGTATGTCGCGCACTGATTCCCACTTGGGGGTTTACGAAAATACGGGACACCGAATATATACTCCAAATAGTAGGATGCCCGTATAATAAGGACCCCCAATAAGGTATCCGTAATTTCGGAAACCCCCACTTCTCCGTCGCCTCCAGCTAATCAGCGACTAGTGACACGTCAGCGGCTTGCTCATCGCTGGAGTCTGACCATGGAAGCGGTTGGAGCACTGCACGCTGACTTCGGTTCAACACTTATGGATGTACACTGTATACATATTGTCACACCTTAGCTCGAGTTTCCTCGGCATGCGGAATGCTGCCTCCTTTGCGCATCTGTTGCGGCCCTGGGCACAACAGCAAAGTCGCGCATAGACTTAGATGCTTGCACAACATCGCTTTGCAACATTGCTTTGAAAGAAATCGGGCAGAAAAGAAGGCTGTTGGGGTTTGCAGCGGTCAGCTCGCCTGTGCTGTGAGCTTCATCAAGACCAGGTCACTCCGCACCAGAGTCTTGCAAAGCAGATCGGATAGCCGTGTGCAGTCCGGCCTCGCGAGCTAGCCGCCCGGAAAGGCGAAGGGTGAAGTCCATCTAACATGCTTTTTTAAGCAGCCTGGATCGTAGGAGCCGCAGAGCGAGGGGATGACTTCAGCCAGGCACGTTGCTGGGTTTCGGAGGGTGATGAGCAGCTGATACGGTTGTTTTGCAGGCTGCGAGAGTCAACAGGCCCACCTCCCCCCCCGCCCCGTCCCGTCTCCCCCCCCTCTGCCCTGCCAGAGCAAAATCCGACTCTTTTCCCGAACTTCCAACAGAGCCGTAACGTGCCCGCGGGCCGACCTCGCTACTTCCGCATCTTGCATAGTCCGTTGAGAATTTTTTTGTGATTTGCAGCAAACACGCAATGGCTCCCTTCCCTTCCGCTCCGGGCACACAAAGTAGACTAGCTCATTTTGTTCTGGCGTGGGGCATAGGAGGTGGCGAGACACAACAAAATGGACATAATAGACCAGTGGCATACTTGGAGCAGAGTGGTATACGTGTTCTTGAGCATTTGCCAAATGGGGCTGTAAGGCTTTGGCAGAACACATGACGGGTCAGGGTCAGATGTGGGTCCTGGGCTGCTGTCGGCTCAAATCTGCCTCTCTGTCTGCAGCCGGCCCAACTTGGACTGCGGCTGCTGAAGGCCAGCTCTGTGGCTGTGCAGCCTTCCCACTGTGAAAGTATGTGGTGTTTGCTGCAGCATTGCTAAACTCTGCTCTCTCTGTGCACTGCTTCTTTCCTTTCATTATATCACTGCCTTGTCTGTTCCACTCTTGTGTGCTCACCTGCTTTCCTGCACCTTGTGTGTCTGCAGCTTCTGCACCTTCCGCTTGCTGACACCTAGAGTGCGGCCATGTGCCAGCTGTGCAAAATCCGTCGCCAGCTGTACCTCTGGCGTCAGGACTGGCAAATTTCCGTGTGGGCAGTGATTGGCCTGCGTGCTAAGCCTCCCTACAGGCTCTGCATGGCGTTGCTGGGGTTTCCGGATTTGATGCGGCCAGAGCTTGCTTGGAGAACTCACAGATAAGTGACACATGTGACACTCATTTAGTCTGATTCATGATTCAATATGATACAAATGGAGCTTCTCCTCCCCGAAAGGCGTGGCCATGCCGCTGTTGTCCCGCTCCAGATTTCTCCAGGCTGCTTTGGCACGCAGCAAACCGAGGTGGGGGGACCTGGCCTTCAAAGGGGGCTCATCTCTGTGTTTAAGTTCAGCATCCTTGGGGGATTCGTTCCATGGGAGGTGGGGTGGCTTCGGCTCGCCCAAGGCTGGGTCTGTTGCAATTGCAAGTGCAGTCGCGGCGTGCGGGTTGAGGAGGCACTTGCCTGGCCCGAAGCAAACTTCCGCCCCAGTGTCCCTGCAACGTTTTGTGGCAGACAAGCTTTATGCATTTCAGGACCACGAGCCAGCTTGGATTGAGAGATGGATGGCGAATCGCCGCGAAGGGCAGGACTCGGGCAAATGGCATATGGGATGAAACTGATGGGAACCATTTGTTGATGTATGCAAGCCTGCGTCGTCTTTCTAAGACTCGAACCCTTTGCCGAATGTGTGCAGTTCAAGTCCAGAGACCTTCTAGAGATTTCTAGAGCCTGTTGCGAGTTCTCGATCTCGGTATTCAGGACACTATGGATTGGTTCTTTCGAGCCTTCAACTCAACCCGCATCTATGAGACCTTTCTGAAGAGTCCCTTGCATTGGAAGCGCAGATCTGGCACTTGAGAATCGTTGACCCGCCTTTGCACAAATTTGCGGAGTGCGTTGGCATCTGAGGCTCTCCGCGTTTCTACGGCTTCATTGTGTGGACCAGCATCATTGGTGGGCATCATGGCGCGAACATGTGTGCCTGAGACGCCGCATGCGACCGCGATGGAAGTGGCGCGTTGCGATCGTGCGAATATTAAGGTACTGCTGGAGCCGAATGTGGGACCACATTTGGCAATCAGGTTGCACTACTTTCGTGTAGCATGGTCTACGTCTTGACGAAGTACCTGACTGGCCTTGAGTGCTGACCAGCTGAGGGACTATATCAACCAGGGCAAGCTGTACCGCCACAACCCATACGTGTCTCGGCTTTTCTGGTGGCTGGAAATTTTGCAGCTGCCCTCCGCATGCCGTGAGGTTTATCCAATTCCGGATGACGACGAATGAGCTCAACAGTCCCTGACGCTGCAGTAGCTTGGATCCAACTCCGAGGTACAACAGCTGCCATCGTTTTGGATGTGCTTCTGGTTTCACAAGATGGATATAGCGATACCGGCGATACAGCTTGGCAGCTCTGATCCGTTTTGCGGCGTGACCTATGCCTTGACGTAAGATAGATTTGGACGATGTGCAAAAAGCTGACAGAGGTCCGCATGGGTAAGTGGCAGGTAGTTTTAGCGACTTTGCAGATGTCCTGCCGGACTCACCTGTTGGAGGCCTCGTGCATCGCGACTTTGCCAGCACCGATCTTGGGATTTTTGAGGGTCCGAGACAATGCGAACAACACGCCGCGAGGTACACCACGAGGTACGCGAGCTTCTTTCCGTTCTTTGAAATGCTGATTTGGCTGAGGTTGGCACGAAGTCCTGGCTGAAGTGGATGCTGCCATGTGGGCTGCATGTGGGGAAACTCAGTGGCGACATCTTGGTGCTCTGTCGAAAGGCGCAAGTCTGCACATCCACGAAGGGTACTGTGTAGAGGTACGCCGCAACCACACCTTCTTGTTGTTTCCTCTGATGGCTGCGCCTTTGAAGTTGCAGACTGCATGTGACCATGTTCAGGTCGAAGGTGTCTGAGGATGTCTAAGGTGTCCTTCCAATGAGATCAATGGTCTCTCGCTTCGTTGGCATCATTGCTAACCCAGGCCGGACATCTCTGCTTTACCCACTGGGCCCGACAAGATGCCAGAGGGCTCCGGTGCATGGCTTTGGAGGCCCGCCCGAGTGACCGGTCCAGATCGACTGAAGGCAATGGTCGTATTTGCGCTATGGAGACCTCACAAGCCTGCACAATGGGCGACATGTACGGTAATTAAGGCCTTGCTGCTTGTATGTCAAGCCGCGTGTTTTTTGTGAGTTCACATGGCCAGGCCCCACCTGTATGTCACGCCCTGTGTTTTTCGTGTGTTCAGACGGCCAGGCCCCGCCTGTATGTCACGTGGCCAGGCCCCGCCTGGGTGTCACGCCCTGTGTTTTTTCGTGAGTTCGCAATACACACGGCAAGGCCCCAGCCTGCACCGTATGTCACGCCCTGTGAGTTTTGTTTGTCAGTTCACATGGCAAGGCCCCAACGTGTATGTCGCGCCCCGTGTTTCTTGAGTTCACATGGCCAGGCCCCAGCCTGTATGTCACGCCCTGTGTTTCTGCGTGAGATCACATGGCAAGGCCCCAGCCTGTATGCTACGCCGCGAGTTCACATGGCAAGACCCCAGTTGCCCCATCCCGTGTGTCACGACCTGTGTTTATCGTGAATTCACATGGCAAGGCACCAACCTGTACTGCATGTCACGCCCTGTGCTTTTTGCGAGTTCACATGGCAAGACCCCAGCCTGTATGTCACCTCCTGTTTTTTGTGAGTTCACATGCCCAGACCATCCCACCCTAGCCTGAGCGTGGAACAGGGGTTCCGAGCACGGGAGCGCGCGCGCGCGCCTCTTCAAGCAGGAAGCTTGAAAGGAATCACTGTCGGCTGTGTGGGGTGCAGAGTGCGCACTCGCATGAGCGAGCGTGCAGCTTCCAAGCCACCATGCTTTCAAGAACCCATGAAAACAATCCGAAAGACTGCGCGCTACCTCTAGCTGCTATTCGATTCGGAGCGCGCGCTTGCCGTTGCGCTTTCTGCTGCTGTTAGGGGATACCTGCTGGGATATTGCTGAGGGGTAGATGGGACACACTCGCACGCGAATAATGTTAAGAGTTAAGATATTCTCGGACAGGTCAAGTTACGAGCAGCCGCAGCAGCGCCTGAGCCTCGACACGCCATGGGCCATGAAAGGATGGGTCTCCCTGTGGTTACTTCTTCCCCGCCTCCGCGGAATGCATCCTTTCTTTTTGAGGAGATGTTTTCTCGTAGTTGGCCCTGAGGTTGGTGTGACAAGGCCAGTGACCTCTATGCTTCTATGCCGAAGGTGGTGGCTTCACGTCTCAGGCCGCACTTGCAGATTTTTGTAGTCGCCGTCCAGCATCTAAGAACCGTCTTGGCCCAGGCCGGCCCAGCGACTGCGAGTAGCGGCGGCAGGAAAAACACCTCGACCATGCATTGGCAATGGCTAAGATTCATGTTGTTACTGATGCTTCTGTTTATGTACCAGAGCCCGCGCGCACAATTTCCACACAGGCTTCAAAGCGGTGACACGCAAATAGGAGCGATTACCGGCAAGCAATATAGCGCTGCCGTAATTTGCAAAAATATGCTGAGCTGCAAAAATATCTGAGCACTTGCTTCACACTGACGCTGTTCTACCCGACGTGGCATGAAGCCTACTGCAGCATGAAAGCATGAACATGCATGAATTACAAGCACGCAAACCAAAGAGTTCGCTGGGTTCGCTTTGATGATTTGAGCTGTGAGTTGCAGTGATGGAGAGCCTTGGCCTGCAGGCCTGTGTGAGCCGGGCCAAGTTTAGGGAGTCCTTTGAGAGAGAAACGCTTGTTGCTGACGAATTGCCGGAGCATACCTCAGCATACCTCAGGCGGAAACTTCCTCTGAAACGCAAGAGTTTTGCAGGTACGCTCGGCCGGCAACGTGTCGCCACAGGCGCCGCTGCAGTTGTGTCGTTTCTGGGAGTATGTGGGACTCAGACAGTGCCAAGGCCGCACTGGCGTGGGCCATGATGCAAAGGGCTCCAGGCGCCCACTGGACTGTACTATCATAGCCGCCTGTGATTTGGGTGGGGCAGGTGGCTCCTCCTCCTCCTCCTCTGCTCCAAGGGCTTCCAAGGCCGAAGAGAACTTGGCGTGTGGCCCATGCACTCAACTTTCTCGCATGGTCCTTCATTCCCCACCAGGTCACGCGATTGCTTCATCCTATGGGCCCAGGCCCGTGTTGCATTCCGCTTCCTGCTAAGCACTCTCTGGCCTTCGTGCTCCAAGCAGCTTTGGGACATTTTGGGATATTCTCGCAAACCTCTTTGGGGAGCTTTCAGACCACGGAGTCGACAAATATTTCTTTCGAGAAACCCTCTGAATTTCTCACTGCATGTCTGAGCGGTTCTCCTCAACAGTGAAAAGATGAGCGCAGGCCCGCGCGCGGAGATACTAGCTTTGCTGTCGCCGCATTGTTCAGTGTTTCAGTCAAGGGTGAGGATTCGTCCTACAGCAGTGGCATTGCTCTCATTGGTGAGTGCAATGTATGGCGTGTTCTTTCGGGTTATACAAGTAGTAGTTCTTAAGAGAAACCCGACTTCATGTCAGCGGGCCTGTTCGAAAGGCGAGACTCCCGCGTGCACATATGCCCGGCTCCTGGGTTGCGCTGTGCGAACCGTTGAAACGAATTTGAACGTGAGTTTCAGTGCAAAGAGTGGGACAGCGACAAGAAGCATGTACCATCTCCATCCAACTCCGTGTTTTTTGACTGCCTAGGCGGCAGATGCGACAGTTGAGATAGTCTTGGCATCTGCCTGTTTGGGCTTGGCAGGCTGGGTGCAAAGTGTGGTAGTGTGTCAAACAGCTCAGTTTGCTCTTAGAAGCTGTTCCAGGTTTGGCAAGGTGCATGAACAAACACGCGCCATGTTGTAAGTTTCATTTTGCCGTTCTGTGCATTGCGAAGAGGTCACACACTCACTCGCCGAAGACGACATCGAATCGCGCGGCAGGTTGGGAGAACGAGCGGTGTCAAGACAAGGAGTGCTCTCGCTTTTGCACTCATCTGGAGGCTCTGGGCAAACTCATTCAACCGCCATTACCGCCTTACATGCAGGCAGATAGCCCTTCACCCAGAACCAGGTGTTTACAACGCTCTGCTTACGTGGGCAGATGTCGGCAAGAGTTGTCTTGTTTATAGGAGCGAAGCCCTTCTTCTGAACAGAGCGGAAGTTTTCAAGCAACCGAAGCTTCAAACAGCTTCGAGAGCCTCTGAGGCCAGGCGCTGCTGCCGCAAACCTCACAGGCCACCAGTACTGCAGTTAATGTCACCGCTGATGGCTACCTCTTTTCGCCTTTTTTCTACTCGCAAGTGCGATTTGAGTTCGGGGAGTTGCTCGGAGAGATGCAGGACCTTACAATCCATCCTGCGACCGGTCGGGTGGAAGATGCTTTGACAAGTGGTTCTTTGAGGACACACAGATGTGTAGAGGATCAGGGCTCTAAGCACTGCACCCGTCAGAGGACGCTGTGCAAAGCCTTGGCGTTGGCAGCTGGTCTGGCGGCCAAGAGACGGAGACGAGAGCGCATCTTCAGGACGAAGCCCCCTCACTCAGGCTCATATTCGAATCCTGCAGATGGCCTTGTGGCTGACCCAGATCTGAAACATGACAGTTTTTTGATAGAGCCGGCCTTTGACGCAGCTCAGGAGCGAATTCGCAGACCCAAGATGGACCAGACTTTGACAATCAGGCCGTCGACTCGGTCGCAGGAGCTGTTGCAGGTAGAGGGGCAGTGGGGATTTCAGCACAGGCCTCAGACTTGGAGTGGGTACGCTGCGCCAGCTTCACGTGCACGGCGTTCTGTGTGCAGCACGATCTCAGATGTGCAGGGCATTGCTTCGCTTCTGCGAGCTGCGGCATACAGCTGCTGATGTGTGGCCCTCGGTGTGCACGGGCCAGGGGCCATGAAAATCCATTAGCCTTCTTCTGGTGCATTGGGTTGCTAGAAACCGCTCTGTTGGGACTGTTGGGTTGTCTCCTATTCTATTGGCACCTCCTGCCCGCCCTCAATCATAGTAGGAGTTCGCTTGTTGTCTTGCACTGCCCTTGTAAGCTAAGCGCGATGACAACTTTAAAACATGTGGAGGGCGGCCAACCACAAATCCAATCGGAGGTAGTATGAGGCACCAGTTTTATTCTGGGTGTTTAGGCTACGGATGTTTCAATGTTTGGTTGGGGGGCTGGGTGCGACTGACGGGCTCGACGGTAGCTTTGTGGCTCGCGAAGGGGGGAATGTTGTTGGAAGTTAGCTTTGTGGCTTGCTAAGGGGGGAATTTTATTGGAACTTAGCTTCGTGGCTTGCTAAGGGGGTATTTTATTGGAAGTTAGCTCTGTGACTTGCTGACTAGGATTTTTTTTGGAAGCTAGCTTTGTTGTAAGGGGGAGTTTTATTGGAATCAGCGTTGTGGCTTGCTAACGGGCGAATTTTATTGGAAATTAGCTTTGTGGCTTGCTAAGGGGGAATGTTATTGGAAGTTAACTTTGTGGCTTGCTAAAGGGCTTGCTGGGGGGATTTTATTGGAAGTTAGCTTTGTGGCTTGCTAAAGGGGGAGTTTTATTGGAGGTTAGCTTTGTGGCTGGCTTAGGGGGGGATCTTTGTGAGAAGTTAGATTCGTGGCTTGCTAAGGGCGGTATGTTACTGGGAGTTAGCTTTGGTTCTTGCTAAGGGTTTTGTTGGAAGTTAGCTTTGTGGCTTGCTGAGATCTTTTTTGGAAGTTAGCTTTGTGGTTTGCGGGGGGGGGGGGGGGGGGTATTGGAAGGTAGCTTTGTGGCTTGCTAAGGGGGGGTTTTCTTGGAAGTTAGCTTTGTGGCTTGCCAGGGGGGGATTTTGTTGGAGGCTTGCTAAGGGGGGATTTTATTGGAAGTTAGTTTTGTGCTTGCCAAGAGGAATTTTGTTGGAAGTTAGTAGCTTTTTTGGCTTGCTAAGGGGGGAATTTTATTGGAAGGTTAGCTTTGTGTGTTGCTAAGAAGGGGGGTTTTTGAGGAGGTTAGCTTTGTGGCTTGCTCAGGAGGGAACTTTGATGGGAAGTGCGGCTTGCCAAAGGGTGGCTTGGTTGGCTTTGTGGCTTGCTGAGGGGAATTTATTGCAACTTAGCTTTGTGGCTTGCTAAGGGGGTATTTTATTGGAAGTTAGCTCTGTGACTTGCTAACTGGGATTTTTTTGGAAGCCAGCTTTGTGGCTTGCTAAGGGGGTATTTTATTGGAAGTTAGTTTGTTGTTTGATAACGAGTGAGATTTTTTTGGAAGTTAGCTTATGGCTTGCTGAAGGGGGGACTTTACTGGAAGCTAGCTTTGTGGCTTGCGAAAGGGGGAATTTTATTGGAAGTTAGCTTTGTGGCGTGCTTAGGGTTTTTTTTTTGGTAGTTAGGTTTGGTTCGTTTTGTTGGAAGTTAGCTTTGTGGCTTTCTAGGGGGGAATTTTTTTGGAAGTTAGCTTTGTGGCTTGGGCTTCCTCCAACCCAACAACCCTCCAACCTTCCAACCCGCCAACCCTCCACATCCCTCCAACCCAAGCCACAAGCCCCTCCAACCTCCCGACCCTCCACGCCAACGAAACTTCAACGAAAATTGTCTTTCGGATGTTTTAAAGTCTGGCGGCCCTTTGACAACTGCCTCGGAGGTAGTATGTGGTATCTGTTTTGTCTTTTAAAAGGTCCGGGAGCTTAAAAAGCGTCACCTTAGGGGCTCGGCCTTTTGTGTGAGCCTGCAATCGGCGCAGGCTTGCGAAAGAGCAGCCCCTGAGCAACCCCAGATTGCAAGGACCTGCAGCCCCGAGACTTCATCGGCGAAAGTGGGCAGGGAGTTCGGGCCCGGAGCCCAGCCAACTAGCGCTGCTCTCACTTTCGAGTTGAGTAGATGAAGGAGTCAGGGATGGTGAGGGTTCAAGCCTCAAGCCTTCAGTATCCTGCAGTATCCTGCAGTATCCTGCAGTATCCTGCAGTATCCTGCGGTATCTGTGTTGAGGCGGCTTTCGGTTGTTACAGAACCACGTCATACTGAACATTGATCGTTGACAGGCATTGCTCAAGCACTGCCGGAATTATCAGCTGGAGGCAGCTTGCAAATTTGCAAGACTTATAGCACTAAGCATCATGACATGTTTGTATTTCTTGTGAACTCGTTTTGCCCTTCCTATCCGTATCCAACGGATTCTCCGCTTCCTGCAGGTGGCCGCTGCTTTGGAATCGCGAGAAGAGGAGACGGTTGGGATGATCCGTGCGTTCCACGATCAGGTCGGCAACCCGAAACTCAAACGGTCACCACAACTCATAAGGTCACTCCTCTTCATCCTCGTCGCCGGAAAAGCATCTGAGATGTTGTGGGTGTGTGGAGGCAGATGTGGTCAAGAAGTACCTGCCCTTCTTTCGCAACGTCCTTGAGAAGTGCTTCCCGGTTTTGCTCAGGCGACTTAATTGCTGGGTCTGAGCACGCGGCAGCAGCGTACCATCATGTTCCATACACACCAGCCGCTGCATCCGGTCAAGTTCCATCGAAATCCTCTGCATGTTTTGGAGGCAGACGGTGGAACCCTTGCATCGGCTCATCGGCTTTCTGGACTCCTACGGTGAGGTGTGGTGTTCAGGAGTCGGTTTAAGTTTAATACACTTTGTGAAAGACTTTTTCACGGTTAACTTGGCTTGCATTTCCAAAGTATGAAAATGTCTGAACAGTTAGACCAAGATGTGGGTCTCAAGGTGTGCTGGATGCTGCAGTCGGACTGGTCTTTTCAGCCGCTTAGTAGTACCTCAAGACATGAAGACGCAGCCCCAGATCAACTGTTAGCAGGAGATAGAAACCGTCAAGCTCGAGACACGGGATGCTTCCTCATGTGCTCGTAGCAGCGTGCGTGGATCGTTTGGGCCCTAGGCCGTCCTAGGGCGCTAATTGGGGTTTAGGGCTGAGATCGGCAGAGTTTGTGTCGTGTCATGGAGCAGTCTACACCAGAGAGAACAAACTCTACGAGTTGGGGTCGGTAGAGCGGCTGCTTGACCCCTGGCAGGTCCAACTCAGCTTCCTCTATGAAGCTGCCAAAGACAAGGTAATCAAGGTGTCGGTGTCACGTTGTATGTGGGGTAAGAGTGGTGGAAGCAATAGTTCTTCTCCCCGCCAGGCGCGATTGAACGAGATGCAGCCACGCCAACTCCTTGAGGCGGAGATGATCGGAGATGTGTGACATGTGGCCCCAGCTGGCCCTGGTGCTGGCAGCCCTCGGAAGGTCACAGACAAATGGGTCAGCCAAGCCCGCAATGGGGAGCTGGCCATTGTGCAATCACACAAGGCCCTGTTTTGCCGCAAGCTCCCCTCAGTTTCTGAACTCCCTGAAACTGGAGGCACGGGTGGTCGTCAGGCACGCGGCGAGCTAGGGTCCTAGTGTCCCAGTCCCACTAAGAGCATCAGCTGGCATCGGTTTCCGGCAAGAGACCATCAAAGGTTTGGACATCGAGTTGCCTCCGCGAGAGAGGGCCGTGCGGGCCTTACGGGCACGTTTGGCGTCTGCACGCAGGTCTAGACGGCGTGCGCGATGTGTGTGATGTTTGTGATGTTGTGTTAAGGAATGGATGAGCTTGGCAATATGGGGCTCAGTCCTGGAGAGCACGCCAGAATTGGAGCTCATCGAGGACACAGCTGTTGTTATGAACACAGAGGCAGCATGACATAAAAAGGCACGACGACTTTTCACAAGAGAGGGGGCATCTGTGGAGCTGTCTTTGTAGCTCTCCGCAGCCAGGATCGCGTTCGTAAAGGTGCCCTGTACCGTGCGATTCCCAAGTAAACTATTGAGGTCACCCTACTGTAGTGTTGACAGTGAGCTTTTCTGCAACCGAAGCTTGCCTCAACGAGCTGTACTTAGGGGGAGATCCGGTGGAGATGCTTTCGTTGGCTTCTGCCTCAGACGCTCGCGGAGGCCCCACAGAGTCTCTTTTCCCTTGCGCAGTCACCAGGCCGAGGGCATGGGCGATATCAGTGGCTTTAACCATGAGATGCCATTTGCTCAGCTCCTGTGCACCAGTCAAGGCAGTAGAAAGCTGCAGAGCTTTTTTTCATTGAGTCGCTCATGCATGGAGAATCAAGGTTTGAGATCGTCCGAGCACCGATTAACCAGGCCAGGGCCTTGCCTGGGGCGTTCAATGTGAAGCCGAGCCATGCCGACGCCTCCTCTGCCTCCTATGCCCTCTGAATACTCCCAATGCCCCACACACACACAGACCCGTACATGCTCTATGTTCGCGCTGAAACGAAACACCAAAAGAAACGCCCTCTGGAAGTTCTGGGTCGCACGAGTCCCTGTGAGGCCATGCTGCGCGCGGGCCCGGAGCGGGCAGCGCTGGTCTGGCCCTGGGAGGGTCCAAAAGGGCTCACTTCATGGCGAGTCCGCTGTTCCTGTTCCGTCACCAGGCATTGGCATCGCTTACCTTCCAAACGCGCTTGCTCAAGAAGCCCGCAGACAAGGCAACGACCTTGAGATGCAGAGCATCCTCAAAAAGCAAATCTTAAAGTGCCTTTCGCTGCCTCGTGTATAGCCTCTGGTGTTGCATGCTGACACATACGTACTGCCAGGCGCAGGCTCGGCTTCTTCTACCGGAGAGAATCACAAAGAAGATTTACAAGTGGCAGCGAGGCAGCCTGCACATGGTTCTTTTTTGGACGCTTTGTGGTTCGGCTCACACATTCCTTCTCAACACAAGAGCTGCGCAGGAGAGGATCGCCCCCTCCTTAAATTGAAGAAGAAGGCCTCGGGCAAGAATGCCTGCGTCGGAGGGTGAGGCTATGTCAATCGTGGGGCGGGGGGGTTGGGGGAGTGTGTCAGGATCCTCCAAAGCCACCAAAGCCAAAGGAGGCAGACATCTGAAGACCGCTGTTGGCCAGCGCAAACTGCAGACGCATCAAATGCCTGCAGGCGCTTGCAGGTCTGATCGTGAAGGTGCTCGCATTTTTCAGCGAGAATATGCTCAAGCCCCGGCCGCCGGGAAAGTACTTGTGTTTGATGTGCCGGGTGCCAGCCTTCTGCTGAGGCCCTTGACTGCCTTGGAGTATGTCCTTGCGAAGTGGGTGGGCCATCCGTGAACCTTCTCAGCGCGACAATTTCAATGGCGTACTCGCTCGTGCCAGGTTCTGAAAAACTTCCGTCTCGAGGCGTGCTATGAGGCAGTGATCCTTCAGCATATTCCATGCTGCAGATGTCTCCCGCCGTCAACAGCTGCTTGCCGAATCCCCAAAGCTCTCACCAGGTGGCTCGAGACCATCTCTTGCGGCTCATGACCAGAGAGGACTTGGGGGAAGCTCGGAGAAGTGCTGAGATCTTAGAGCCACGGAATGAATTTGCTGACCTAGTGGAAGCCATTTGTCATGCAGATGGTGACCGCGCAGGAGAACCTCGTGGATCCAGAGAGGGACGATGCAGATGAGGTGGTTCCGCGGGGCCCCTACCTGCTTCTGTGTACTGCAAAATGCTTGAGGTTTATTGCTGTCCTGGCCAGTTTCGCTTGCACAGGCCTGGTTCTCTCGCCAGATCCAGCAATCACTTGGTCGCACTAGGTTTGCCAGAGGCTGAGTTTGTTGTGGGCATGAAGCTTTGTGTTTTGCCTCTAACCAATTCGGGCCGAAGTCAAAACAAGCCTAGCAAAGCCATCCAAAATGGCACGCCAAAACCCTAACAGCCCTAGTTTAGCAACGCGTGAGTCCTACCTCTGCGAGTCCAAAAATCAGACACACCCAAGGCCGGCAAACCCTCCAGGGGACCCTAACCTCCTGTGTTGCTTCCAGAAGCGGTTTCGTGCAAGGCCGGCCTACACCTTGGCACCTGCAGTGGATTGGCTGCTCTGTCAGTCTGTGCTGCTGGCAACGCTTAAAGACAATGAGGTTTAAAAGTTTAGTGGCTCTGTATCGGGAAACCCCACCCAAGTAAACTACTTGTACGTGAGCTGTTGGCTTTTGTGGTATGATATGGGCCGGACGCTCATGCAGCTGGCTAGTCCTCGTCGACGCTGAGATAAGCTTGGTACCAAGCAGGTTGCCTTTCCTACTTTGGCAGGCGGGCTGGTCAGAAAAGAGAGCTTTCCCGGAGGAAGTAGTCGAAGAGGACTCCCAGCCCAAAGTTTCTTTTCGTGCAGCACAGTGCTGAGTAGGAGCTGCAGTCAGCTTAGCTGTGCGTGATTGTACCATGGCTTTGTTGCAGAAGATGGGCTCGCAGGATGCTGCCACGCTGGAAAGAGCGATGATACAGAGGCCGTCATCCAAAACACAGAACTTTCGACGCTTCCTCGTCTCTGGGCCTTGGATTCGGGCTTGAAGCTTAGAACTTAAAAGAGCAAATTGCAGTCGGACTTGAACTGGCAGGCGAATTGCGACAACGAAACTTGTCGAGTCATCCCTGCCATTGCTCAGACTTGACCTTAGAACCTCGGAATGGTGCCATATCTATGTCTATGCTATAAACCTACAACTATAATATATAGGTATATGATATATATATATATATATATACACATAACTACATATACATATACATATACATATATATATAATATGTATATATACATATACGAAAATTATGCTATATCTACTATGTGTGTAATGCACATACCATGTCACGGCTGCCAGCTGTTGGACTGCAAGTCGTGGCTTCAAGGTCACCTCTGGCCCCAAAGGCAAGAAGGCAGGGGCTCAGGGGCTTCGCCATTCGCAAACACCTCTTTGTTATTCTTTTTGTGTCGTTTTCTTTTGCTGGAAGGAGACGAGGATGCCAGCTTGGAGCAGCATCTCGCCAAGATATTGATGCCCCCACTCCCCCCCCCCCCCCCCTGCAATTCCGAGAGCAGGCTTTCAAGAAGTGTCGGCTTTGTCCTTTGCGATTTGGAGCTGAGGTTCTCACTGCGAAATGCCGATGAGTTGCTGAGGCTGGTCGGCCGAACAGAGGCAAGCCTCAGCAAGCCCAACTTTGGAGAGTGTTGAATGTGTATCATCGGGCGACTTTGCAAAAAGTCGGAAAGGACCGGGATGGCAAGAAGAGGAAGGCCTATACGCACACATGCCAGCAAGCTTTCTCGTGCAGTAGGGACGACTGCATTGCATTGAGCTAAAAGCCATCAGTCTTTGCTGTTCGGGATGCGGAGGCAGATGTGGCAGCGGATGAGCTGCTGAAGCTTGCGACCGAGAGAATTCTCAGAGTCGAGGAGTTTCATAAAGCGTTTTAAGCCTGGGCCAGCAGCGCACAGCGCCTTCACTTAGGCGCCTGTCGTCGCAGCTGATGTTTGACGATCTGCCCCAAAAGGAGCGGCGCTTGGGCTTGTTGGGCATAAGGCACACGATGCCATTCGGAAGAAACCTGCGGGGGTTCGCGCTCCCATTTTGATGTCTTCGGCTTTATACGTGGCGTTGCTGACATAACCCTCCCTCAGTCGGCGTTGTCAGGCAGAGTCAGCCATGTGTTGGCGGCCAAGACGATCTTTGTGTGTGGGATCAGCGGAATGTTGCATCCACAACGTTGTGCACGCCATGGCCTGCTTCAGACGTGAAGGTGATTGGCGACAGACACAACCAGAAACATCACTCAGCACGCTAGCAGCGCCAGCCTAAATTTTTTTTCACCCTCAACAGCAAGGCATGTTGTTGTGAGATCTCTGTCAAATCTCGTGCCGAGGCACCTTTTCTGCTCGAGGCAGCCCACATCGGTGCAAATCAAGGCTCGTTTCTCACGAAGCTGACCAAAGTGGTGGAGTGGCCTGAGTGGCCAACCCGAATTCAGCAGAATTCAGAGGCATACCCGAGCAGCGGCCAGTCGGTACTTTGCCCTGGTCCCGGTGGCTTTGTGGAACGCCGCGTGCCTTGTGAGCTGGCAACAGCGGCAAGTGTAAGGTCTCGCTCCATTGTGCTGCTTGCTCAAGCCATCAACATGGAGGAGATCAGCTGGGCCCTTAAGAGATCTTAAGAGCGTGGATAGCTTGTTATTACTGGCATGTTCTAGATAGCTGCGGCCAGCTTCATTCCACACTCATTCCATGCAAGTTTTGAAATTTCGTTTTGGCTCAGCTTGCAGAGGGGCACATCACAGGTCTTGAGTCTGCGGAGTGGGCCCTGATGCCTTTCGAAGCCGCAGATGCCAGTCGGATCCCGAGAAACTGGAGTCGAGACCATCAGCAGTGTTGGTCTGAGTCTCCCTCCTCGTGTCGGTCAGGCAACGAGGCTGTGTCGCTCGTTGCCGCTTCTTGCGCGGTGGGTGGTGTGCCGGAGGATATCGGTAGTCAGCTGCCGACCTGTTGGTTGTTGTCGGTGAAAGCATCGAAACTTCTGGTAGTTCCTTCCTTGAGCCTCGCACCTCGCACCTACTAATTGCTAATCAAAGACTCTCTTCCTCAGTTATCCGGAGCACGTGCCGACCCTTACGCCATGCTTCCAGGACATCATGTCTGAAACCTGCACAGCTTGGTTGGAATTGGGCTGCCAGCGAGGAAACATGGGACTCCAGTATCGAGGCAGCATAATCTGCGCTAGCCCTTGGGGACTGCTAGACCCTTTCCTGACTTTCGTGTAGTGTCGCAGAGTTACATTGCCGGCAGATCCTTTTTGCAAGTATTTTCTTTACCAGACGTGTTGTCTGATGAGCGTTTGGCTTCCAGTGCCACGGGGGGGTCCAGTGCCACGGGGGGTGTCCATTGCGTGATCTCAAGTGCTGCAGCCAAGGCTTGCGCAGACGGCGCTGCAGGTTTGGGTGTGGGCCTCTGCCTTTTGGCGTTCTCGCCGTCAAGCGCGAATCATTTGGATACATCTTGCTGTGTTGATTGTGCCCTCGAAGCCCAAGTCCAGGCTGTGTTGTGCTCTCGTTCAACGCAATCTCATTCATATGTGGCTTCGCAGAAAGGGTTTTGGCAGGAACGAGAGGGAGTTCGAGACCGAGGCCTTGTAGTTCCTGGCATGCGTTGCAGCACTTGTCAGGCAAAGGCATGAACGCGACAGTCTCCTACATCTCTCCTGCTGCAGAATGGGTTGCAGGCTTGGTGCAGCTGCGAAAGGCCAGCCAGAGATGCAGAGTGGTTGTTGCGTCGGCATCCTCGTTTGTTTCTGCTGTGAACATGCTGTGGAAGCGCTTTGCCATCAGAACCGTTTCACGAGCAGGTTTGCGGCTATCTGGAAGCTCAGCTGGGCAAGGCGCCAACGGTGCTACCCCCTGTCCAAGCGTCCTGAAGATGTTTTTTCAAATGTGTGGCTTCGCAAAGCTGCTCAAAGAGATGCACCTTCAGTTTGGCAGTTCGAGCCGTGTCACGCAAGTTTAAAAAAAGCGACCCGATCTAGCACTGGTACTTTCAGGTTTGATACACTTGTGAGTCCTTGTGAGCTTAATTAAGTTTAAGCAGATGGTTGCTGACGTGCAAAGCAGCCATGGCACCACGCTATACAGCTGCCCCCCACTGGCACTCGCCGCAGAGGCAGGGCACACAGGTTGATCTCTGTTGCTTGTCGGCATGGCTGCTCCTGCCAGGATCTTCTGCAACCGTCACCTTCAGATTGCAGCCTCCCTGCACACCGTACACCTGTCCCTGCCCATCTGAGAAAGTGATTTTTTCCCCCTTGAGATCATCGACTGAGGCCATCCTCACCGCCTTCACCGAGCACAACATACAGCCCTGATAATGTCTGCAATGTCTATGGACCAGCTCTGGCGGACGTCTACTCGCCACCATGCGCCCCGCCGGTACAGGGCTTTCATGAGACTGCTATCGACCCTCATGGAGCTGGAGTGCATTGCAGCTTCTCAACAGCATCTACATATTTTGGCAAAGCACCGCCTCGAGTTGGGTGTACGTCGGTCCTTCGTATTCCCCTGCTTGGGTATCGCAGAAAAATCGCAGATGTAGCCCGAGGCCTTCAGCGGTTGCTTTCCTGGTGGCTTGGACCAGGAAGGCAAAGTCTCGCAGAGAGCTTGCAACTTTTTTCGAGCGGAAGTGTCGAATGTCCTCGCCCTTGACCGTGAGACTGAAGCATGGACAGCATATCAGCAGACCCTCGGCGATACTATGGGGAACAGCAAGCAGTGCAGTATAGTGCAGTCGCATGAGTTGCCTTGTCCAGTGCATGAGTCGGCTTGTCATGGCTTGTGCCATTTGTGCCCAGACCCAGGGCTGGCATCAAAGCGATCACGGAAGAATCCAGTCTCGCAACCCACCCATGTTATGGCCGGAAATTCCAAGTTGGGCAAGAAGCCAAGTACGAGGAGCACATCTCTTTCAGGCTGGGGCTGACATGAGCTGGCTTACATGTCGGCACTTCAGCCCTTTCTTGCGCTTCGCATTCTCCGCAGGGTGATGGCGGTTACCTTGGGCATCAACCTCGAGAAGACCCCCAGCTATTGGATACCATTTTGGGACACCCACGAGGAGATCACGGGCGCGCCCTGTGACGCCGCACGGCCTCTCTGGCGGCGCCTTGCTCTGCTGTCGCCTCTGGAGTCGAGCACAGGATGCTTGGATGGATTTTCGGATCGTTTAGCGTTTAGGGTTTAGGGTTTCGGGTTTTTGGTTTTTGTTTTAGGGTTTGGGGTTTAGGGTTTGAGAGTTTAGGGTTTAGGGTTTAGGGTTTAGGGTTTGAGAGTTTAGGGTTTAGGGTTCGATTTCGCTTCCGTGAGCGGCCGCAAGCTGTCTTCTTCGGTTTCGAGGAGGGCTTCTTTAAAAAGTCTTTTGCAGAGGTCCCCAATCAATCTTACTCTGCAACTGCCACAGCAACTTATCAGGCTCATTCGAACAGCAGCGACATTCGCACTCGCATGTGTACTGCGGCACATCCAGTTCAGGATCCTCAAACTTTGGAATTCGAGAAAACCTCCGTGATGTACGCATGCTTCTGCCTCGCAAATAGGCAAATTACTGTACAGAATATTGTGTTGGTTATCTTGAAGATCCTTGAAGCAATCAGCCCATCAAAAGAATCTATGCGCCAGCCAGGTCATCCGGCAAAGGGTGAAACCATCCGTTCCCGTCCACCCGAAAAGCCGAAAGAAGCATCCATCAGAATGGCGGAAACAGTGGTAAATACCAGTGGTCCTGGAAACCTTCCTGCGCCCCTTTGGGAGTTTGTGTCAAATCGCAAGAAAAAGCCCAAAAGAGGAGATACAAGACGCGATGTGAGGGAAGTTGCGCAAGAAAAATCAGCCAAAGTGCTGTGAGTACCGAGACAGGCACGGAATCAGATTTAGCTTTCCCCCCCATCATCCCATGAAGTTGAAGGTTCCCGCCAAGCCTGCTAGTTTCAGCAGATTTTTTAGCAGATTGCATCCATGCCACCGTTCAACAGATTCGCAGACTTATTTGGAGATTTGGGTCGTGAAACGCTCATGTGCAAAGTGAATTGTGAGTAGTACATATAAGTACATATGATATTTGTGCAAAGCATACTCTATGCACACCTTGGACAATGGTGCTGGTCAGCTTGAGATCGGTTGGCTCTGCACCAGGATGGGTTGTGAATGTGGGTGCCGGTGACGGGTCGTGCTCGTATGCAGCCTGGCCATTGATTTCAGTGGATTGACGGCCTTCTAACCATAAGTTTGTCCGCATGCGGCTGCTTGTTGTTGGAAACCTCAGCTTCAGCCCTAAGTGACCTAGGACGCAGCTCGCGAAGTATTTCGGGATCTCACTATCTTCAAGGCGGCACATGACTTGCAAGACTTCCTTCGTAAACTTCAGGAGGAGAAGCTTCTTACGCAGCTGACAGAATGCCTGTACCAGGCTGGTGATCCAGCGAACTGCTTGCTGCATGCAGGCTTTCAGGGTATCCTCTTCGAAGGCGGAAGTTAAAGTAGCTTCTCAGCTGCTTCATGGAACGAATTGCAATACTGCAAAAAGATGCAAAAAGCATTCTTGCCTTGGCGAGGTGATCCTGAAAAGGCTGCACTCTTGCGACAGGCGGGCCCCTGGCATGCAGTTGCAGCAGGATGTGTGCTGCAGCCAGCCAGTCTGCAAGAGGCAAGAGGACTTGGATCTTGGTTGCAGGTCTTTGCCGGAAGGGAAGGCATTTGGGTGATCGGCAACGCAACAAATCCCTTCAAGGTGGGGCGGGTTGCTGCTTGTGTGGCCAACTCTTGTTGCTGTTTTTTCTGAGATGCACAGGTGCTGCAGCAGGTTGCAGCTTATCGCGACAGCAGCTTGGGCAGATTTGGACCGATGTTTCGAGCAGAGCATCGTCAAGTCTCATAAGCCAGAAGAATGCTTAGGCCTTGACCTACAAGTGCAGCCAGAACTTCTGAAAGCTGGGCCCCTAAGAGCACAGCAAATGCACACGCTGTTGTGTGCCCGGTTACGGGTTGAAGACAGCCCGATGATTCCCAAGGTCGACGTAGACAATTGCGATTGCTGCTTCGTGGCGGCCCTGCTGGAGAGAGGTTTGCGGCCTCGACACATACACGTGGAGGCTGATGTGGGATGCAAGTTGACTTGAGAACATGTCTTCTGCGATCATGGTGGTGGTTGTGGAGGTGGAGTGGTAGCAGTGGTAACAGAAATGGGAGGTGGTGAACCAGTGGGTTCCCTGATTCCCACCCCGCCCCCCCCGCCCCCCCCCGACGCATGTCCAGGTCCATGTTCTGAGCCACTAGCTCGAACTCAACTACTCACTGGGCGCCCAAACTCGGGAACATAGAGCTGTTGCAATCGACCCACACCTACCGACATCCATCCCCCTCCCACCACGGCCCCGCGTGTGCAATTGCATTTGTTGCCTTAAGAGCAATGCCCTTCCAGGTCAGCTCGCTCGTTCCTCCGCCAATCTTTTTCAGACCGGTTGCGTTCGACCCATCCATTCAAGGACCTGCAAGGCCATGATAGGCCATGTAAACATCAAGCTGTGAGGTCATGTGTGCCCCAGGAGACTCATCACTTGAGATTGGCCCGGAAAGTGGCTTTAGGGGCCACATGGTGCACTGTCAGTAGCCCAGCCGCTCCTCAGCCAGTAGCTGCGGCCACCAGGCCAACTTGGCATATCTTGGCTTGACAGCGCAAAATATGCAGGCTCACTTTCTGCCTTTGCTGAGCAGCTGGAGCCTTTTGACTACAAACTGGTCTTTGCCTTAGCTACGTTCCCTTGTCCACCTTTATCTCCATGGCGTTGCAGCATGGCGTCGCAGCATGGCGTTACAGCATGGCGTTGCAGCAATTGAGGTGGACCTTTATTTGCATGATGCTCATTTCGCAAGACAGGTGGCTCGGCGGCATGTCTAAGTAGGGCTGCGCGACGCAAACGAATCTCGAGGATGTGGTGCAAGGGGATGCCGGAGAAGGCATCCGCACATCGCCAGATCTCTGGCATGAAATTGGAGGTCGAGACCAATCAGTGCTTGCTCCTGTTCCCTCACGTAGCATCATGTAGAATCCTGCTTCTTTCTGACAGATCTGGAAATGGCATGGTACCAGACTCAGTTTGCAAATCGTGACACCTCTTTTCTTCCGCATCCCCTCCGCTCTCAGCTATAGCTCGGAGGCTCGGAGACTCTGTCAGACTGCCGGAAGTTGCTGCGGCCGAGGAATGCGGGCTTCTACTGCCATCCACTTCGACCCACTCAGTTCATTGAGGTGCAATACAAAAAGCTGCTCGTTTGCAAGACGGTCCATGTGGCACATTGCCGTACCCTTTGCTCCTCTCGAACAGCTTAGGACGTTCCTGTATGACTATCGCCAGTGGAGCGACAAGTCTCTTTCCATAGAGGAACGCGGAAAGCTCAGCTCAATCGCATGATGGGAGGAGCGGTAGTCAGTGTGGACAGACGCATACAGGCGTAGATACAAAGGGGCCACCTCTGTTGCACTGAAGACAGGTCTTCGTTTGCTGAGAGACTACTTGGACCGCTGGCAAAAGCCACGGAACCAGTATGTTCTGCGAGTGCAAGAAAAGCGCTTTGTTGCGTTGGGGTGACTTGAGGGGCGTGGCTTTCCCAACCGTCTGATCAGGGAGAGATCTTTAAGCTTTTGTCGTGCGATCTTTGTGCTGGATGTTGTTTGAGAGCGTTGAAGCAGCTGCTGAAAGGGTCCGGTTCTTGCGAAAAGTCCAATGAAATTATGCCATCAATGAGAGACCCTAGCAGAACAGAATGTGACGGCTCTAGCTATGAAACCGGGAGTAAGGGAAGGCAGCAAGGCATGGAATGAAAAACGTTTGTTCATCCAATGAGCCAGCATGCTTTCCCACGCGCCCCGGACATTCCTAGATGGGCAGTCATAGGTTTGAACCCTTTGGCAGGTCACCGAACTTCCCAAGCGAGCGGCCTCATCACTTTGCGATGCAACAGGTGGCTGCTACCCTGGAGAGCCAGACAGCCATGTAGTTAGGGAGGTTCTTCGGAATGTCCGCTCTCGTGATGCAACCCCCTCGTTTGCTGCCATTTGTCATCATCGAGGTTTGGCCCTCTTGCTCGACACCATTGATGGCAAGCCTCCATCCTTGTCGGAACTGGCAAGAGCTAAGGAGGCACGGCAAGATACAGCAAGGTAACTCCAGTTTGCTCTGGTTGCTTATCTTGTTGGGCAGGCGATCCTGGAAAAGCTGGGCGGCAAAGGCCGGGTGATGCTCCTGCGCAGGCTACAGGCGCAGCAAGGCTTCAGGGAGTCACGGGCCATTTTGTGGGACAGGACTGGCAGCCCTGGCCGATGCTGTGGCATTGTCCTGGTCCTCGGCGTCGGCCTCTGCAAGCCTTTCTGAGATGTCTTTGGGGGGAGACGAGACGGTGAAAAAAGTCGTGAAAGGCCATGCCCGGCTTGCCTCCGTCGGTGGCTGCCAGTCACTTCGAGCAGTGGTGGAGGGGCCCGGCTGCCCGGGGGGTCACGCTGAGCATCGCTGAGCCCTCCGAGCCACAATGCGTCACGGCATGCTACGAATGATATATGAGGTGTTTTATCATCTTGTGGTATGTTGCGACATGCCCCTAGGCCAAGAGACTCGCCAAGAGCTGGTTTCTCAAGTTGCCACCGCCGGCCTGCAGGCCAGGAGTTAGCGAATGAAGTCAGTTCAGCATCTGCTGCAGCACAAGCATCTTACCTAGCATGAGGAGCTTTCTTGGAACGTGAAGCTGAAGCTTCAAGCCACCTTTGCGGACAAGAAGCAAGGGGTCTCAGATGCGTTGGTTGTAGGCGTCTTGTGAATCTTGCACGCTTAGATGCGCGCCGATGCGGAACTTGCAGTTAGTGTATCCTTTGGATGAGGCCTACAGAGTACTCGTCTCCTGCTTGGCGAGTCGAGGGTGTTCAGAAAGTCACCTGGCCACTCGAGCATGATTTTAAGCGCATCGGCATTGATGCTTCATGCGCGCGGCACACGACTCCTCGCGTCACCGAACGATCATTCTGGAAATTGTGAATGCAGCTGTTGCATATTCTCTCTCTCGACCCTTCTGCAAGCCTGGATGGCAGGTTTGTGCCAGCTGAAGTCGTGAGCGAAGCGAGCAAGACGAATCCTGCGGGCTTGCCAACCTGGCGCAGTTGCTTCAGTGTGGGGGAGTTAGTGGTCCTAGGTTCTGATCATGTGCTGCACAAAAGCCGCCAGGAAGAAGGAGCGGAAGAAGCCTCCAGGCACCCTTTCGGGCGCGTTTCCTGTTAACGCTGCAATTGTGCACGTAGGGCACAGCCGAACTCGTTTTTTGCTGATGGCCTTGTTCGTTGCACTAGCGCTTTTCAACAGCTTCAGGCTTCATCGGGTCCAAGACGGCACAGAGAGCTGCACTGGAGCCTTTCTGTGCAATGTGCTGATCCATTCATGAAAATGACGACCACGAGCTAAAGCTGGTAACAGAAAACAGCTAGGCGAAGTGGCTTTGTTTGAGATGCCTTATTCAACTTCGACAGTCCCTGTAGCCTCTCACAACTAGAAGCCTCTGGTCAGGAGAAAAGCGGTGGAAGATGCATGTACTGCAGCGGCACCCACAAGTTGCGCGCGTCACTTGCCGTTATTCAACGTTATTCCTTGCTTTGAGCTTTCGGCCAGGGAAGTCGAACCAAGCCATGTGCTCTGACTCCAGCCCTCGTGTGAGGAAGCATTTCTGGCCCCCAGAGCTCGGCGGCACGGACTGCTCAGCTGGGGGTCCGTTCTGCCGAACTGTTCTGCTTGGTTGGGGCTGGGCATTGGTTCTGGCAAACGAAGATGTCCGTGTGTGGTGGCGAGGGTGTGGGAGAGTGTTCCTTTTTGCCACCAAACAGAAGCAGAGAGGACTTCGCCTCCAACGTCTCCAGCTGCTGTGAGCTCTGCTCAGACATGCATGAAGCACTGGGCTCCAAAAGGCCCGGAGGAGGTGGTAAAGGCACCGCGGCCCCGAGATCTCCGTGCTTGTTGGAGCAGGTGGCGCGAGGTGCTGTCTGCAGATCCAGAGCAGGCTGCGGAGGTGACACCGGGGGTGGGGGGGTTGGGGGGGGGGGGTCGGAGTACTGTAGTACAAGAAACATCGTCGGAGCAGCAGTTGATTTGAAAGGAAGGAGGGATGTTCTGGTTTGTGTGTGTGGGTGTGTGTTCTTTAAATGTTGCTCTGAGACCAGGTTTGGTGGGAGGCACAGAAGAAAGCCAGCATGCCTTGGCCTCGGGGTGAACCCCTTTAGAAGCCATGGAGTTTGTGCATGTGATGGATCTCAACAAAGCTACTGCTCTGGGAATAAGCTCCTCTCCTGGATCTGCCACTGATTCCTGCTTTGCAGCTCAATGACTCAGGCAAGCCATGGGTTTTCTAGCCCAGCCTGCTGAGTAGCGGCTGAGCCGGTGCGCAAGATGGCCGATCGGGCCGATCTGTACAAGCAAAGCATGTTACAGAGGCGCATCAGCCAGGACAAGCCTCGCTATAGCTGACTTTAGCTGCTGGCAGCGGTCGGCGGATGTCGGCAGTGCGAAAGAGGTTTTACGCGGGAACAGCCTGTAACCCAGCCCGGCAATCCTGAAATCATGTAATCCGTTCGGCCACAACTTCTTAAGCTATGCTCTTCAGCGTTGTCGGACATAAACTCGGCAGCCGCTGCTTGTGACAGGAGACATAGCCTTGTTCAGAAAGGCGCACAATGCACATAAACCAAGGAAGTCAAGGCAAGAAGCCACTTCATATCACGTTTGAGCCATGGCGAACTTCATGGATGAGCTGGCTACCGGCTCCCGCACCGGCCCCAGGCGCTACTCCCAAGAGTACGGCAGCGTGGTAGGAAGCGCAGTTCTCGATCCCGAAGTTGTGCTTGAGGCGTGAAATGCTAGAATCTTGAGCCAAGGAAAGACATGGCGAGATCTGTGCAAGAAGGAGACCCCCACAGTGGGAAGCGATGCAACGCTGCAGGGTGTTTGGAGGCAGGGCGAATGGATGTCTGTAGTGCCCAAGATCTCCTAAGCGTGTGCAACCTTAGTGATGCATCTTGCTGCAGTTCTTTTGCTTTACACTCTGATGTTTATCGTGTCGTCGAGCCTGCTTTATTCGTGAGGACAACGCGTTTCGTGGTACCTACAGGGAGTGCTACAAGTATAGCCCACTGCGAGCACTGAGTCCGACTGATTCCTCTCGCTCTTAAAATGCAGCTTTCAAGTAGCCGAATGACATAGCAAACAACTTCTTAAAACAGTCCGAGGCCATCCAATGCCCAAACCCCGGAACCTCAGTCTCTGGCAGGGAAGCGATCATAGCAGCGGTGGCTTGCGAGAAGGCAGCGCTGAGTGTGTTACTGGGCGGAAGCACAGGTCGTCTGTGATGCAGTTGCGCTAGTGTTGGCTGGGGACTCGACTTACCGGGCCATAAAGGGCATTCAGGCATTCATGCCGGTCGGCATTTCTGGTTTCGATGCCTGCAGCTGGGAATCACTTTGTGATATTTTTATGAGAAGGGACATGCAACTGATTATACCGGTTCATGCGATGGCTGTACCACTGTCCGGTGTTCAGCAGTAGCCTCGCTGGCAGGCAGGCCAATCCAGAAGATTCGCTGATGGCCCGGCAGGGCAGGTGTTGGACTATTTGCTGGAGTTCCGACCCAAGCCCAGTTCCATCACGCAACTCCTGGCTGCGTGAACTCCTCCGTGCAACCAGGCGCGGCCTCAGCAAGTATCATGCCGCCGCGGAGAAGACAGAGGAGGCTGCACATTCAGGTGCAACTTGGCGCTTCTTCGAGTGTGTTGAGAAGCGCTTGCTGCGGTCCACTCCGGTCTCCTTCCTGAGCTGAGTTGTGCTGCCAGGTCGGATTCGTCCATCCATGGCGGGGTCCAGCGCAGGCTTTGCGTATGGAAGCAGTCGAGCTCCACACTTCTGTGATGTTCGCACGCTGTATTCTAGGGCATAGGGCCGCTACAGTTCCAAGTCCTTGACTTGCTGGCACGCCATATACTGTAAGCACTGTCTGCAAGGGGCAGCGATCGACTCTTGGTCGGGTGGTGGCAAGCCGCATGACTGCCAGGGGACAGTGGAGGGAATGGCATGGAAACGGCTGAGCTGCTCATAGCTAAAAGCAAAAGCTCGTCAGCTTTCATAAGACGCTCCTTAATATATGCTCATGCAACATGGCTTGGTATGGCTTGGTTGTTGGGTCTCGGGCTTCTATGGGAGTGTGGGGGATGGGCCTTAGGCAAGTGTGCCCTCATGGACCCAGCTGCTACCGCAAGAACCCTGAGCACTTCAAGGCCCCTAGTTGCCTTCACAACACAGTCCTCGCTGTGGATCTCAGACTTTAAGCCTTAAGGCCTAGCGACCAGCTTTTCCTGCCAGGAGTACTCACATCCGTGGAAAGAGGACGGTGGCAAGGCCTTGTCAGAGAGAGTGGCTCAGCCGTTGCTCTCACGGGTTTTGTGTGAGGCGGGGGGAGATCTTCAGATCAGGCCGTCAGCATCCGCCAGCATCACCAAAGCATGCGAATGTAGACGGTAGACGGCCCTTTGCAGCCTTCAGGTGTGGACGCTGCGGTGCTGTCTATGGAGTGGCTGTGCCACGAGGCCAACTTTTTCTCAGCTTAGACCAAAGGAATCATGCTTGCCCCAAGTCAAAACTTGGATATCATCCGGATCCGGTTTTCCATGGCTGGTATGGCAGGTCAGGCAGGCTTTGCTTGAAGCGAAAGTGAATGCGAACAGTGTGCAAGGAACGGCGCCCGGTGCCACGATTCAGGCCAAGTGCCCATCATGTGGCACCAACAACCAGGCAGAGACCCTAGATGCCATATGGAGAGCTCGTTCGACCTTCCGTCGTCTTGTTGATTGCAGCCAGGCAGAGGTGCCCCACACCGGTGGTTCTGGGGGTCCCAAACCGTTTGCAGCTCCTCATGCAGCCCCTCACGTCGGAGGACTTGCTTTGAGTTAGTCTTGGGAGGTGAAGGGATGACTTTCCCGATGTCAGGAGCAGCCCCTCGACCCTCAGGCTGGCCACACCACGTGCTGCGTCCGCTCCCTCGAGTTTCGCTCTGCACCCAGGTCGTCGGAAAGCTCTCTTGATCGGAGTCAATTACTTTGGCACCCGAGCGGAATTGCGCCGCACCTAGTATCTAAGTTGGTGGGCACATGTGCTCTGCTGCACCTGTTTCACGATTGGTGGCTCAGGCGAGGGTGCATCAACGATGTGCACAATTTGTTCCGCCTTTTGACAGAGACCTATGGCTGGCAGGCAGCACAATGCAGGAACACCATCAATATCAGCAATATCGATGCAATATCGGCTACCGCACAGCACTGCAAGGCTCACAACATCCGAACACTCACGGATGATGGCCGTGGTGGTGGAATGCCTACGTGCGGGGCCTCGTCGGTTCGCTGTCGGCAGCACTCTGACATCTCTGACGCCTCTGAACCGAGGCGCCACAACATCACCCAGCACCTGCGGTGGCTTGCAGAAGATGCCATGCCAGGCCGATTGCCAAAGGACAGATCGAGAGAAAGCAAGGACAAGCTCAAACTGCGTATGTTTAGAAAGCATGTCTTTTTCCGTCGCGGTAAGCATAGAACACTCAAACGTCTTGCTAAATGTTAACTTGCTTTTGTGAAGATAAGATACCACCAAACATCTTGCTAAACTTGTATGTAAACTTGTATGTGTGTTTTATTGTGCTTTTGTCGTGATAAAGTGCCCCAACTTCTCCCTAAAAGTATGTCCCTAAACCCTAAACTAAACCCTACACCCTACACCCTAAACCCTAAACCCCTGCTTTGAGGGGACGTGCTCTTCTTCAGCTTTTCGGGCCACGGAGCTCGACGCTCGATGTTCTGCGCCCCAGAAGGTGTGTGTCAAACATGCTCGGTGGGCCCACGAAGGCCCAGAAAGAAGATCCGCAAGGATTTGAGGAGGACTGGACACAGACACTGTGGGACAGACAGCAAGCATGCATAATCAACAGCTTCGCTGACTTGCTCAGCAAGGATGGCATGAACGAAACGATTCTGCCAGTTGACTTCGAGCATGTGCCGGGGCTGTTATATGCATTCACAAATAGCCGCGCTACAAACGGGACCATGACTGTGCTTCATTGTATTCACGATTCACCGCAGGCTGGAATGATGCGACTTGGCCGAGCAACAGCCGGTCATTGCATGTCTCGGCAGATTCGACGACTAGGATGTATAGAAATAAGGACGGATGACGAAGTCAGTGACTACATCGTCAAGCCCTTGCCAGAAGGAGTCAGGCCTCGCTCCAACATGACTCTGGAAGTTCACATTCCTGAGTTTGAGAAGCTTGTTGTCTCGTTGTCTTGCGCTATGCATCTTGGGCCGGCATAAGTCGGAAGTATTCGGAAGTGATCTGTTAGAGATTCACGAAGCACAGGCTGACCGGTGTCATGGACTGCTGCTGCCAGCTTAGAAGTATGCTCTTTGTGCATCCACCCATCATCAACACAAGGCATTTGCTGGAAAGAATCTCCCTCAGGTCACAGCGGCACCGGCCTGGACCTCCCCTTCACGTGGGACCCGCGGCGGGGCATGTGGCGCGAAGAAGTCAATCCGTCACTGGGCCCAATGTTTGATAGAGCCATCGCTGGCAAAAGATAAAGTTCTACACAATGAACCGGTAAGGTTCCTTTCCATGGGCGACGTTCTTATGTTCAGCAGCTTGGATGGCATCGACAGCTTCGGATTATTTTGAGCACATTTTCGACCTGACGCTGGCATCACCGCAGGTGGTTGCGAAGATGACGACACATCCTCTGATGCCGCTTCCATGTACTCAGCACCTGGAGGGGCGATGACGAGACTTTGGAAGCAAACCGCGCTTTGACAGTTGAAACTTGTGCCCGGTGTGAATGGTTCGAGTGACTCAGAGCCACGCCGAGGACAGCTTTCTGCGATGTGCTTCGCAGAAACCCTCATCCGTGCTGACCTAAGATGTGCGGAGCGCTGACCTTCATGCCAGCACCCACGCACTTGAGTCGCTTGAGTCGGCCTCGTTGGCCTGGTTCTGTCGTGGTTATGCTAACTCGAGGGTTCAAGCAGGTTCCAGACAAATCGAAAATTCATGTGAGAGCGGCGCACGCCAAGGATTTACCCGGAGTTGTTGAACCTCCTTCATCGGCACCTTAGCATGGGTGGCCAGGGAGCTTAAACGGATTGTTCACTTTCTGCTTGCCCAGCGCATTGCACAACTGGAATGTGCAAAGATTGGCCCAGGCTTTTCCCAGCGGCCAGTGTTGAGCTCCTCTCAAAAGTGCTCATCTCAGGGATATTCGATCTCACTGCTCGGATGATTCTACGGCCTTGGCAGTTGATCATCCGGAGTGCAAGGAAGACCTATAGGGGGATCTCAGGTTTTCGCTTGATCGGCCGTTCTCCTTCGACGACATTCATCCGCGCCTTTTCGTGCAGATGTTGCATCGGCTGTGCAGTCCGGCCTTTGTGCCAGAGTGGCGCTGCTTCTGAGGAATATGAATGGCCAGCTTGGCCGCATCTTTAGACAGCGATTCCCACCCAGGCCGTTG